CATTATCTTACAGCTTTGAAATGCTCGTTTGGATAAGTGTCGCTTGTTTCTTAGGTTCTTCTAGGCAACAGTCCAGATGGCGCCATTCCTCTGGTCTAGTCTTCTGGATTCCACAAACCTTGGAGCAGAAATTGGGATTTTGAAAATAAAAGAGCTGATAATCATGTCCTCCCACTCTGTGTTCTGTCCTTAATTTCTCCTGTATTCTGTCCTTAGTTTCTCTGGAGTTATCCTTCCAAATGCCACCTTTCAAAATTGTTTGAGTGGCTGACAGTTATGTTGGACAAGTGGATTCTCATTGTGATTCTTCATGGCTATACATGAATCAATTTTCCATACCACTCCTTCCAGCTACTTAGTAGCAGTAACTATAGAGGAGTCAATTGTCACTCTTTGTGTGGAGGGAGGGAGAGACGTTTCAGAATGGGTTTCACAGAAATCAGCCCACTGAGTGAAAGAGCCACACAAGCCAGTGAAGAGGAAAACGGTGAGGGATACAGTTAGACCTTGAAATTCTGCCCTTTTCTAAGGCACCCTCAGCACCTCTAAAAGGGATGTTCTTTCACCTAGGACTGAACCAAGAAATAACGGTTGAAGGTTAAGTGCTAGCTTTTTGCAATAAAATAAAACTGCAGTCATGCTTAATGAGCACGAGCACTTGGAAGAGCAGATTTTAAGCCCAAGTCTTCCATTGCTTCCAAACTCCATGGAACTGTCTTACTGGGGAGTCAAGTTCACGCATGCTTTCTGTGTGCAGCCCAGCGTATAATGTTACGTAGTGTGAACCAACTGTAATGGAAGTGAGTGTGCTCCCACTCCAAGATAACATGAAAGTTCTTACTGAAAATTTTGGTGCCTAGAAGAGGGTATCAAATTTGTTTCCTCACGCCAGGCTAGAACTGAAACCAAGAGCATTACATAGGTATTAAGTGAGTGCTGTAAGCACTGAACTGTTGAGTAAATGGACAACTGTACCAGCCTTGCTTCTCTTTATTTTAAAGTGATAGTTTCTGCCACATTTTTTTGCAGAGCCTGATCTATATGCTTTAATAAAATGCCACGAACTAGTTATTCAGGCAAAGCTATTCCTAGCTATGCCTGAATAATTCCTTAGGCAAGATGGGTAAAGGATCCAGTTTATGGATCTGAAAGGGTTGGTATGAACATTGAGCAGTGAGCTCACACGGGAGGAGCGAGATGCCTCTAGTGCCTGGTACATGGACTACTCTCAAAAACAGGCGTGACCATAAGGTGCTCCTGATGCTAGATGACAGCTAAGTAGGAGCTTTAACAAAATAAGTACCTAAATTCCACGTACCTGGCATTTTTTTTATTAGAGCCTAAAAATCACTGTTTTCTTAGATTCAACTTCTACAGCCCTATAATGAAAGAGAAACAAGACCCAAAAAGGCACCTAAAGAGTTTTGCTCTTTTTAGAATTTCCAGGGTGAATTAATCTCAAATAGTGTTTCCTGGTTAGCTGTGTAATAAAGATACAACATTTTTTTCCTCCCTACAGATGTTTTTGCTCTTGCTTTGGCAATTAAAGAGATGAGCATAGCAACACGTAAAGTACGTACTACTCTTTGGTGTGCACTCCAGATGACCCTACCAAAAGCTACAGCTGGACAACTAGATGCAGAGAAAGCTCTTCAGGAGATGGTACAATGTGAAGACAAAGCATGTGAAAACACAAATAGTTGCAGCATCCTAAATCAAAGGGCTGAAACCAGCAAGCACTAATGAAATATCAGTTGCGTGCAAGAGTAAAATTTGCAATGTGGATGCATGAAGAGATGATATGCTAAATCCTCCTATTTGTAAAGTTTGAACAACTAATTTTCATTCATATTTAAAGCTGATATCTTGATGAGAAGCTGAACTTGCTTTAAGGGCTCTCAGGTTTTACTTAAACTGTTAACATTACAATAATGTCAGTTAGCCTTTACAATGCCGGTATATTGTAAAGCCTAACTGATGAAAATTAACTTAAAAAATAATGAGACTAATTAAACAATTAACAACCAAAATATTATTTCAGTTCTGCAGCTGGGCCCTGGTATAAAACTCTTTTGATAAGTTCTTTTAGGTTTGTTTTAGTAAGTAGGTTTTAAAATAATGATTCTTAAAGACTGTACTCTAATGTACCATACAGTCTAGTATCAGACAAGATTGTGATGAAAAAGTGTCTTCCTTATCAAACTAGTACCTGGAAACAGGAGGAAACAATGCTAGAAATAATATCCAATATTCATGTAAAATTAAATATTTAAAATACTAATATTTATGAATTTGAGATTTTAGAATCCAAGTTTGTTAAAGGAAATGCACCAGGTTCTACTAAATTAGTGATATTATAAAATTGCTGTTGTGAAACCATACAATTTAGTAAATATGTTCTAATCATTTGGGCATGCGCTTGGGAAAAAAAGACCTCTGTTTTAAAGTATTTAAACATAATGAAAATACAACATGCACACAATATTAACCTTTAAAAAGCTGTGCAGCAGCTGAAATAATGAGTATTGTTTTTAATACCTTCACTTTAAAATTTGAAAAGAGGGTATCACAAAGTTATGAGATTTAGACTTTTTTAAAGTTACTCTTTCGCTAGTTTGGTTTGAGATTTGGTTGTCATATTTTACATTTATTAGTTTGCATCTGTATTCTTGACAGCTATTAATGCTTGGGGTTTATCTGCATATCTTATCTCAATATCTTTGGACTGAATACAAATAACTTATTAATATGAAATGTTGGTATTATGTGGCTCAGGAGATATAACAGGGTTTTAACAATTCTAGCATCGAGTTTAACTATAATGTGTGGATTAAATTTATTCAACTATCCTTGCCTAGATACATTGATATTTTAAATGTCTATGTTCTTCCTACTTCTAGAAATCCTGATGTGCAAAAGGTGTAATCACACCACATAAATTGTCATTAGACAATGTGAAAAAGAAACTGAATGAGAATGCAGGAGAAACTAAAGTAACCATTTTGATCACTGATATGACCAAAAATACTGCCAGGGTGAATTCATTGGGGCAGGAGAACAAAGTACATCTTCATAGCACAAGTCACAGCATTAAGATTTGTTAAGTTAAACCTAAGACGTTGATGTTAAAAAAAAAAAATACTGAATTTAGTCTGTCTGGTAAGAAATAAATTAACTTTTGTTGAAAGCATTTGTTCTGCATTTGTCTTTGTAGTCTCAGCTCCTAAAACAGTATCTGTTAACAGGGATTGTAACTCTCAGTTCATTACTGAAATAAGTTAAAAGTTGTGTAAAGCAGTGTTGACATTGAAATTAGTCTCTTGATCTGAAGATAGGAAATAACTGTAACTTTGCTCTAGACAAACAAGGGCAAAATTGTATCAGTGTAATGAATCCAAGGTGGCGGATCTTTTTTGTCCCATAATTTTCGCTTGTTACTTACAAACTGTGTGCTACCAGGGAAAGCTTATTCAGTAATTTCAGTATCTGCAATAGAGATCTTAGGAACACAGCTGGAGTTTTCCTGCCTTTTAAATTTCTTGGCAGTGATGCCAGGATAAGGAAAATAAAATAACACTTTTATTCTCTTTATACTGGGTCTGCAGTAATACACTCCTGAATATTAATACAGCATAAATGTTTGGCTCTCCAGAGACACTATCCTGTCTGGACACTCAATAGCAGCATTTATTGACATCCAGTAAGAGCAGCTGTGCACTTTAAGTAAGGAAAGGCCTGTAACATCACAGGCCAAGAAGCATTAACTGTAGTGAAATGGACTCATATGGCCAAGGGGGACTTAAATTCTTCAAGTACTGTTGAGTCGTGTCCTTGTGTGGCCATGCAGGACTACACGGCTTTTGTGGGGTGCAGAGTATGGATGATAGGAGGAAAGATGAGCCACCTGTCTGAAAGGGAGCTCCTGAGACCTGCTTGTGACTAGTCCCTTTCTTAAATGCAATGCACTTTGCATTGAAATTAATACACATTGTGAGGGGTGGCACATGCTCACAGCTTAGGCTTTTGTTCTTTGAAAGGAGACAGCCTGATCTCACTATAGGCAGAAGGGTTTAAGTTCCTCTAATGACTAGGTTTTTTTTTTTTTTTTCCTCTCTTGACTTGTATAACTAAACATCTCAAAAAAATTATATGAAACACGATCTGGTTTATAACCATCCATGCAGATGAGGCTCTCCAGTCTCATTTTTCTGCCACTTGAAAACAGAGGTTTGGGTATTTTAGTACCAAGTTCCAGAGCTCTCGGTGCACAGCTTAGGAACATGGAAAGACTTCTACCACCTGCTGGCTGCTGCCAGTAAGGAAGGAGGCTGTTGCTGCCACAGCAACCCGGTGCAAGTGAAAGTGGGAGTGTTAAAATGCACTGAGAGAACTGGCAGCTTCCTAAAACCTGAGTGTGGCTAAGGCTGCTTCAGGTGCAGTTGTTGAGTCACTGCTTAGTACTCTCACCCAGTCAGATCACCTAGTCAGATCTAGGGCAAAGGGATTTGTGAGACCAAGGGCTCTGGGACTCAGGAGAAAGCAAGAGCCACCCTGTGGTGCTAGGGTCTGGGCAGCAGCGCCAGGGCAGCTCTGTTGGAGCGCCCAGCTTCTTTGTGGCCAGCTACCCCCACCTCGCCTCCCTGTCCTGCCATGGTCCTGCCCTCAAAAGAAACACTGCAGCTAAGAGCCACTGTAATGCTCAGGCCTGGGAAAAGGGTCAAGCCCTGAGCATAAGCCTGACCCAGAAGTAGCAGTGGCCATGTGTTCTCTTACAGGGACAAAGGGAAGAGGTGAAGGGCGGCATTACAGGCTCAGGAAAACAGGTGTGACTAGAGGATGACCAGCCCCATGGCAGCAACAGGCCAGACCTCAGAAATATTTCTGCAGTTTAATAGAAACTGAGGATGCAAGATCTGCAGGGGAGTTTGTGCATGCATATACTGCATCAGGCACCACAATCCTTAACCGTGACACTTACTCAGACACAGAGAGGAATGCTGTCTCTTGGCCAACCAGTTTTACTATTCAAGTCCAAAGATAAAGCAGCTACTCACACTTGCAGCAGTTAAACAGGATGCATTAACCTTTAATCAGACTGGTGCTGAAAGCAGGTGATAAGGACAGTTACCATCAACAGCTGGTCAAAACCTGCCCATCCTCAAAAACAAGTCTTGCAAGTGAACACAGTGGCCAGAGCACAAAGCAGCACGTGGATGGGGCACACCGGTTCCCCCCGCAACCCTGAAGTGCTGCAGGTCTTCCTTTAGGTGCAGTTCACAGAAGTTAGTGTTCTCCTTTCCAGAGGCAGGTGAGACTTTCATGAAGGAGGCTGAAAAAATCACAGGTAACTAGCCCTTCTGTGGGCAAGGGAAATGTTCAAACCTTGCTGCTTTCCCCCAGCTAGGACAGCTCCTACAAGCAGCTGAGCCAGGCAGGAGATGACCAGCTTGTAAACCAGCTTGTAAAAATCAGTTACAGCCACAGCTGCTCAGCACTGAGCTGGCATTAAAGCGTTTGCCCTGGCACTACTGTAGGAATAACAGTTGATGTTCATCCACATCGGGGAGCACCATCTTCTAGCTACCAGCATCAAGCCGTAAGACAGTATTAGGACTTGAGCAATTTGCAACTGCTCTATCTGATATTCAGATCACTGTAGCATTTCCTTTACCAAGAGCCTGTAGGTGAAGCAATCTCATAGCTGGAACTCATATATATTTCATAAGATTTCCTTTCTATCGCTGTAGAACAGCATTTACCATTGCTGAGGTCAGAGCCAAACCCTGCTCTTTCAGTTCAGTCAGAATAAAAACATAGCATTGCTCTTGGCAGCAGACATAAATGTATTTGCAAATACATTTTTCAAGGCTCCACCCTGTAAATTCACATCCACCCTGTAGCAGCATGTGCTTAATTACAAGTCAGAAAGGGGCTTTGCTCTATTCTCAAATCAAAACATGCTGTTGCTGCAAATCCTAGGCTAGCGTGAGGATGCAGCCAGTTTGGAAGCCCTTTCCTACATCTTGTTTTGCTTCGCTTAAAGCAGTTAGAAGTAAAATTGATCAATTTGAAACACAGACATAATCACTTCACCATTCTTTGGTACAGACATTGGCCACAATAACTGACTGGGACGTTTGACACCACAAGCACATGGCACATCTGGAGTTAAAGAGGTTTGAAATTTCTTTTTTGCTATGTAAATGTAAGAGGAAATGCTTCCAAAGACCCACTCACCAGCCACGTGCCCAGAATTTCTGTTGCTTTTTAAACACACACCATATTCATAATTAATTTTATCCTTTCAGAGTCCAACTGAAAAACCACAGCTATCGCTTCCGTTCTCCTTTTTGTGTCCTTTTCTTCTCCTTTTCCTTCCGCTCTTGCTTGGCTAGTTTATCCTTCTCTCGCTGGAGTTTGTCTTGCTCTTTCTTCTTCTGGAACTCATCTCGCAACAGCTCCCGTTCCAGTTTTCTGGCATTCAAGACATCCTCCACATTTGTGTTTCGGAACAAAGCTAGTTGTGAGTTAAGGACAGACAACGTGCTCTGTCTGAACACACACAGCCTCCTCCTTCTGGTGATTCTGGGGGTCTGTAAACTAGACAGTGGATTTAGCACACAGAGATTGGTTTATTCTATCTCCTCCTCCACCTACTGTCACATCTCCCCTCCGAAGGGACAGCAGTCAGGGCTGTGGGGCGTCTTACAGCTGCTAGCAGAGCACAGTTTTCGCAGAGGAAGGAAAAAGGCAGCAATTCTGTCCGCTCTGTCTCATTCCTCACCCCAAACTCCAATTCCTTTGCCCTAATTACAGCTCACTAGTGCAGCTTTGCGGCCACATTTATCAATGGTAACATCTGAGGCTCTCCTGCCTCTTGCTGATGGCTGTATCTTGAAGGATCCCAACCTTGCCCTGAGCAAGGCAGAGTTTTGCCTCCATAAGCCTAGCAATAATTCACCTCAGGCAGATCTCAGCTGCTCCTTTTTCTCCCAAGGGCTCCACGGAGAAGAGAAACTGCACAGCAGCAACCAACACTTGTACAGGAGGTGGTGCACAAGAAAAAGTAACCTTTCTGACTCCCACTTTTGCTTATTCACCAAGCAGGTAAGGAATTTGGGAATGAGAAACGAGCAACGGAGAAAGAAAAAGGAATCTCTGCTTGTTTCTTCAAATGGAAGAGTTATGTAGAGTAAACGTTCACTCCACGTTTTTCGTAGAGAAATCACATTGCCTGCAGGTTCTTAATACTAATGTGTAAACATTTTAAAAGCCTCTAGGAATCTAAGGAGAAAGAAAAATAATACATAGGTACAGCTTCCTTGGGTGCATTTAGTACAGCTGTATATATGCTACAGAGTTGCACCACTCTGATTAGAGCTGACACATCACAGGGACCAGGAGCTGACAACCAGCTGCTGCAACACATCCCACTAGCTGGACTAAGACGACTTGCACCAGCAACGTGTGCGTGCCTGTGACAGACAACATGGCACCCTCCGTACATGACTATATACAGCCACAAAAGGCTGTCATCTCAAGATGATACCTTCATCCTCTCCGTGGGGCAGTTGCCTCAGGAGGTTTAACTGGCTCTGTAATAGAAATGGAAATGGTATCACACAGACAATACTGTCTCAGATAGCTCTACCCATCCTGCTTCCTGGGTAGGAAGGCTACAAACACAGCAACGGATGAGCCAGCTCACATCAAAGATTGACATAGCGCCACATCCTCTCTCCCGTAATGGCCAGTGACAAATGCTTTGGGAAGAGCAGTAGAAAAAGAGAGTAGATGTCTCCCCCTCTGGCTCTTCCTCCTATCAGTAATTTAGGGACAAGAACAATTTAGGTTCCACATTTTAATTATATACTGCGATAAAACCTGTTTCCACCTTACACCTACCAGCTGGGGAGCGCAAGAAATGACCCAAGCTACTGTGTTTACAAAATCCTGAGATGATTGGTCCTTGTTCACTGCCAAAGTTCATGTGCACTATGGCCTTATATCGTTTCACAGTGGTTTTGTTTCTATCACACTTTTAATAATTCCTGACATGATTTGCTTCCCTGGAAACCACTTGCTATTAAGCTGATGTTTTGGGAGAATTGTCCATATCAGCACTATGTTCTGTGAAGCTTTGGAGGGGATAGAAGAAAGAAGAAAGGAAGGAGTAAAGAAAAAAAGAAAATGACAGGATTGGCCTCAGCTGTACACACAGGGCAGGGAAAGGAGAGCAGGAAAGCAGATGAACCTTTAAGTTTCTTTACAAGTAAGGTCAGGCTACGTAGAAAAAAGGAATCACCAATACTAAAACGTGGCACTAAAAGGAGGCACTAAAGAAACAGTAAGCACAAACACGGAGAAGAAAGGATGGGAAACTCACCATGGAAGCTGCCTTTCTTCTAAAAAAGCCTGACTGATTGAGATTTTAAAGGATACATTTTTCCGATCCAATATTTATTGCTGTTGCACTGGATCCATCCTGTTCATCCTCACCAGTGAGAGAATTAAGGAAATTTGGACATTGATAATGAACTCATGCCTCTGTACAGTCACACTTGGCTCAAAACATCAAATAACAATTCTGCCAAGAGACAAGGAAGAAACTAAAAACTGATACAGACAGCCAAAGCCAAAGCAAGCATAAAACATGCCGTTCAACTCTTCTGTCTGCTCGAGCGCCAGATAAGACTCCCTCTTACTCAACTTTGATCTCTAAAGAAGAGTCTGCTCTTCAGCACTATGAAGAGGTAACTTTAAACTCTCCCACTCTACATGTGCCCTCTCTAAAGAAGACCTTTTCAACAGATTCCTTGCCAGAAAGCAGGAGATAAATTCAGTACGTTAACTACCATGCACGGAGTGTTACTGGGATATTGGAGGCGATACGTTCATCAATATGCCCAGACTGGACAAACCCCCGACACAGGCAAGCATATACTGCTGGAGAGTTTGGAAACAGTGGGAGAACATACTCAAATGGGTGTCTGCACATGGCACTCCATAAACTAGGAGCTTCCACGTTTTTTTTGCAAGGAAATTATTTCACTGTGGAGAAAGAAGATTGAAAAGCCCCTCCAACCCTTCCCACTAGACACTGCAAAACTGGAAAGGCGCTTTAGAAGATTCTTAATAAAACATCTTCCTTCAAAGCAATAAGTCTTGACTGGGTCAGGAAAAGGATATTCCTCCTCATCTGTCACATTAGCATACTGGGCCAGGAGGGCAGCCTTCCTTTGCTTCTCTTCCTGGGAGACCTCCTTCGGCTTCACTACAAGCTTGGCCTGCTTCTCCATCATGCTGGCAATTGCTTGGATCTCATCTGGCAAGGAGAAAAATCAAGAGCATCAGTCCATCCCTGCAAGCGCAGCACTGAAAACCTAGCTGACAGGTGCCACATACTGCTCCCAACTCGCACATCTGCTGTCCCCAAAAGGCATTACTGAGAATTCAATCTGCGCCTTGCAAGAGCAGGAGTTACAGAAGAGCCGCAGCTCCCGGCCCAAGCCACTGGCCACCGAGGAGGCGGTTCATACCAGCAGGGCATCTGAAGTCACATGCCATCTTCTCCTCACAAGGAGGAATTCCCCCGTGCTGTCTGCATGGATTAGACATAGTTTTTCCTGGAGTAAGGGAAGTTTTGCAATGAAATTTATGCATTAGCAAGATTTTAGCTAATGAAAATCCATTTTATGGCATTCTCATCCAGTTAAAACATACTGGGCATGTTTATTCAATTGCACAGATATACTGATCAGTACTTTGAATTTTCAGGATTCCAATTTAACATGGTTTTAATACTCCATCTTTTCTACCTACCTAGGGAAACAGTTGATTTACCTTTCAACATTAAGTTCTGTTGTCTATTTCTTAAAATGACATTGTTTTTGACACCAAATAATATTTGTTTAGTTGGTTAATAAATTATTCTCAGGATTTTTTTTTCAATATAGAAAGGCTGCTACACATTGCCTGTTTGGTAAGGTCACGTTTCCATAAGGCTTAGATCTTGTGCCCAATTTAAAAGCTAAAAGATTCCCTCCAAGCTTTTTCTTTCACACATTTCCTTCTCCTACCAAGAGCTAACACCCAATATATATTTTCATTAAGTCAGAACAAGTAGATATTGACTTTAATGGGGATTGGTTAGGTCAAGGGTAGGGTACTTCAATGAATTTTCAGGGAAAGACACTTAACCACTCTGCAGCTGAGCTGTCCCACCTATAAAGAGGAATTAAGCGAAACCAACATTTGCGAAATACTTTGAGATTTAGACAAGAAAAGTACTATATAAATGCAGGTCTTATTAGCAAGGGCTCACTGTGGAGAACTACTTCTAGAACAGCATCAAGTCAGTGACAATATTCTGTTTGCACAAAAATCAGCAACAACAACAACAAAAGCAAAGCAAACAAAAAACAAGTTTTAGCCAAAAGGGACATACATTGTTACCAACACAGGCCTACAATTAGGTCCCATACGCTTAGAAGATTACCAGTTGAACCATACAGTATGTTTAAACCAGCAAAATCTTTCCAGTGCATGATTTCATTGTATTCAAGAGCTCTACTTGCTGACCAGAATAAGCCTCCCCCAATGAACAAGAACAAGAAGGACATCTTTGCTCCAGAGCCGACAGCTGAAGACAAGGGATGAATTCAGATAGGGCACAAAGAAACAACGGGACTACGTAAGTTATTGTGAAAGTAGCAGCATTAGTATAGCAGCAGCAGCCTGACAGAGTTCTTCCCCCCCTACAAGCATTTATTGGAAAAAAAGGAAAGGTTTAAGAGAAGATTTGGAAAGAGAAAAATAAGGATGCTTTCCTAATGTGTACCAGGACCTTCTCCTGGGGTGAGCAGAAGCACAAGGGGCAGCACAGAGGCTCTCCATAGGTGCAGTTATAGTAGTATAAAAGTGCTTGCTTCCCAAACTAGCATAAACAGAAGCACTACACACATTTTATACCATAATAACTGCATTTATCATGAGAGCCCTAGCTGCCACAGCTACATCATTTAACGGAGATTAAGCCCTAGGTTTTTTAATGAAAGGATATTTTTTAAATCCTGCAGAAAAAAATTAACTTTCTCCTCTGCAGCATTATGAACCCAAAGAGCAGCACGATGCTAGCAAAAGCCAGAAGTGAAACTACTCAACTTCATTTCATATTTCAAGACAAAAAAAGTAAATAAGCAGCAATGGCAATGAGAAGCAAGTCAGATCTGGAAACACATTAGCAACATTGGTTTTAACTCCTAACAGGATGAACGCATAGTTCTCATCCTGGTAAGGCCCTGCAATGTACTCACACCGCGTGGAAAGACACTCCGAGCAGTGACACTACCTTCTTTTTTCTCTTTGGCGTCAACAATCTGAGATTCAGACCACTTCTCGACTACTTCCCTGCAAACATCGTTTAAGAGATCTTCTTCCTAGTAAGGGAAAAGAGACTTCTCAGTCTTAGAATAAAGTCAGTCTGTTTTAAACGAGCATGAATCAGATATGAAAAGTACCAACTCCAAAGAACCTGAGTACAAGGCAGCAAGCCCAAGAGATAATGTTTTTCCCATGAAATCTACTTATTAAATGCACACATAAGACTTTTATTAACCTGGGGCAGCAGGACAATACAAGTCAGACGCGCTTACTTGTTTACACAGCTCAGAACTAGATATAGCCTCGATGACTACACAAATGTGAACGCACCATGCCAGGAGATGCTCTATTGCCACAGTGTTTTATTTTTGTGCACGATGCTGCTCTAGTGATACATGCTGGTTTAATAGAGGCAGGCTATCTAGTTAAAACAGCCCTACCAACACTGAAGAAAGGTAACCAAGTTATCTTAACTCTAGCCAACTACTGTCCAGCATCATACCTCTTCTTGAGCAAGGCTGCAGAGAAGCTAGTTAAAGGCCACCTCCAAGCCAATCTAATTCAAGTTAATAAATTAGACTGAACACAACATAGTCAGGGCGAGCACAGAGCTGAAACCACTTTGGTGCATAGACTCTCATCAGCAGATAAAAGAGAGAGATTCTTGTCCCCATTGACCTGTTCTAGAGCATTAAACACAATCGAGAGAGGAGGCAGGGGAATGTATTCAAATTGTTATTCATTACTCAGGAAGAACTTAAACCACAGGAAGAAAGAAGATGCATTCAATTAGCAACAGAGAGGTATTCCCGCCACCAGAACCTTTTGCCTGTGGTGGTCCAGTACGAACAAATCCCTCCCCAGTGTCTAAATGCAGTTTCTTAGTGAACTGATCAACACTGCAATTTCAAATCCCAGCAGTGGGCAGATGACACACAACTCTACCATGTTTCAGCACACGTGGTCACAGCATTTCTATGAGGCTAGCCCACTATCTGATAAATTCAGGCTACAGAAGCCGAATCTAGGCAAGAAAAATGATCCTAATAAAACTGAAAAGGGTTTTGAAGAGTTGCAGCCAGAAGCAGTTGACTGGGAAGATGTACATGTGCAACGTGTGCTCAGTAGCACTAACTCACACAACAGCAAATATGTCCACAGTTTAGGAAAAAATGGCAGCAGAGAAGCACAGGGCAAATGGGCTCAAGGAGAGTTAATAGCAAACGGAAACTTGCTAACCAGGGACACCTCAGGTATGAGCCAACCAGGATTACGAGTCTTCCCCTTCCTCCGTACCTTTGCAGGTCTGCCCAGTGCATTGCAGGTCTTAACATCTAGTGGTTCAGGCCAGATCCAGGCACTGCCTGAAACTCCTTGCAGTCATTTTCCTCTCCTTGGTCAGCAGTACTACACTTCAGCAGGGACAAATTAGGCAGCAAAGCAACGGTCACCTCTTACTGGGGCTGTTTTACCACCCATGACGACCGCCTACTCTGCCTGTGCCTGAAAAGCAGTAAGTTAACACCATAACCTCTGTTGAGAAAACAAATTACTTACAGAAGTGCAGAACAACCCAGCTTCAGCTGTCTGTGCCTTTCCTCCCTTTTTACAGCCAGGCATTCAGTAACTGGCATTTGGAACACAAGCACACCAAACCTGCCTACACAGACTTCTCATCAAAGAGGTATCAAGTTCACAATCCTCATCTTGAAAACGTGGGCAGTAGGTACCTAAAAACCACTTTCAAGTTCTAGCACAGTCATGGAAAACATTACTCATCCAGCAGCCACAAGGGGGACAGGAAAAAAGAGTTAAGTTTTCCACAACTGTGGAACAGACAAAGAGATAAGGAAATATCACATGATCTTTCCACCTTTTGCTCCAACAAAGAGTAAATCACACAAAGAGTAAAACCGTGCCAGGCTACAACAGCTAAGCACAAACTTGTCCATGTAAGAGACAGGTGAGAGGAGAACAGATAGACCATTGCACAAGGTTGCTGAGCACTGAGCTCTTGAACACAGTACAGGACCATACACGCATCAGAATGAGGTCCCTGCGTTAGGGAAAAGACACTCCAAGGACAAACATGCAGAATACTCAAGGCTGTGAGTAAGGAAGTGATCTGCAAACAGAAAAATAACAAAAGGAAGAAGGGTTTGTGATTCACACCAATATCAGACCCATTTTAATCAGTTAACATGCCTCTAACCTGGGTATATCCAGAGGACAGAAGACATACTGTTCATTAATATCAAGTATAAGAGAGGTGGGTTTAGGTTTGGAAGAACCCACTGACCCCGTTCCTGTTGGGAGATGACACTCTGAGATCCTCATAGGAACACGTGCTGGCTAAGCAGAAAACAATTAGGATGATGTGCAAAGAAACACAACTTCAAGTGACAGAGGAACCTTTCCAGCCCTTCCAGAAAATGGATTAAGCTACAAAAAGACAATGAAAATCAACACGGTTCAAGGACAAAGAAGGCACAAAGATATTTAACTGCTAGAAACACTCATATTAAAAGGATTCTCCTGGATGGACAGACTCTGCCAAGTGCTGGGAATACTAGAGCACTGGAATCAAGGCTGGCAAAATGGTTAGCAACCATAAGCCAGTAGAGGAGGCTGGGAAAGACACAATCCTGTACGCTTGGTATCATTATGCAGGAAGAAGAAAATCAGGCAAGTGACGATAAAGGAACAGCAACAAGTAGAAAGAAAAATGAACTGCAGAAGACTAAAACCAATGACAGAGAGACTTCTACCTCAAAGGAGGGTTTGAGCAACAACAAACAAATCAAGTATTTGTATATCAATGTAGGCGGGTCTGTGAAGGGAGAAGAACATGAAAATCAGATGTTCTAGTGACCCTAGAAACACGACAAAACCCAAGAAACATTAACACAGCTTTGAAGCTGAAGAGTCCTCGTAATCAGAAAGGAAGAAACAGAAGGTCAGGATGGCAGTGTAGGAATGGACGTGAATGAAGCAACAAAAGAGAAACACCATGTGGCAGCCTAGATAAAACTAAACCTTTATGGAAGGATGCAAAGAGAAGTTCTGCCACATAGTGCAGGAGGTTTGCTGTATAACCCTTCTGTCTTACAGCAATCTGGATAAAGACCTCTACAGGTCTCTACACTGTATCCTTATACAGTGATTGCTGTCACTTTGGGACACTCCCTTTCCATGTACAAGACTGGAGAACAATCCAATATTACCTACTAACACTGGTGGAGTTCAGATAGTTGTGAATGTGATAGGCAAATGTTTTCTGTGAAATACTCCCTAAACAAACAAGAAATGACGTTATTTTAAAAGTTAGCAAATACAGAGAATAATGAAAATACACTTGGACCAAGTGATCTGGAGTCTGTTCGGTTTAAATAGAGGAACAGAAACAGATCTTGATTCTAAGTTTCCTGATTTGAAATGGGTAAATTTAAATAACTCAGGTACCTAACCTGTGAAATTGTTGGAACTGAGGAACCAGGGACACGAGTGAAGAGGTAGCCTGGAATTTCTTTTAGTCAGCATTGCTAAAAACAAAACAGTGAACTGGAATTCGTATATAGAACAAAGAGAAAAGAGATGGCAAGGACCTCAGAGTGGATGAAGAATTATTTCAGTATAACAGAAATAAGTAACATCTAAAATAAAGAAAAAAACGCACTGATCAGAAAAGAAAGAAAAAACATGCCCTAGGGGTTCAACTTTTTACAGGAATTGTCAGGAAATCAAACAGAGTTAGAACTTGCAAATGAAGCAAAGCCAGCACGAGAGTCACTGACATGCAAAAGAAAATGGAGAGAAGAAATAGAACCATCATGCAGCAAGTACAGGATTAAGAACAGCCCAAAACTAGATGAATATGGAAACTGCACTAGCTTTCAAAAATTGTACTGGTGGCAGCACAACAGAAGGGCAAGTTAGCAACAAAGAGAAGATGGAAAATACCACAACACGATGCGCCCATCTGCAGGGCAAGGGAAGGCCAACAAGCTACACACGCCTCCAGAGCTCAGAAGGAATATCACATGAAAACACAAAGCCCGCCCCAGGTTTGCAAGTCTGTGGCCAGTGTAGTCAGAGATCAGATCCAGGCTCGGCCTTTGGTGGTGGAATGAAGTGAGCCTGATAATTACAGGCCGGTTAGTCAATCTCAGCTATACACAAGGCTTCAGAACAGCATTTCCCAAAAACATTTTGCTCCGTCTCCTATTCCAATAGGATTTACTGTTCATCCTCCCCTCCACCTTCTACTACTGTAGGCACATGGCCACGCTGGCCCAATTGTACTTCCTTCAGAAACTAACTCACACCCCTCATACGTACTGCTGGTGCCACAAGGTGGGGAAGTGATGATGGAAGGTGAGGAAGAGATGCTCTGTATGTTAGGAAAACTGCTCTAAAATGGCAGGCGTTTAGTTCATGGAAGGAATTATATGACATAGTTGCCTGTGATAACACAAAAATAAATGCAATGACTGAGTTTGTCCCTTTGAGTTTTATGCTCCTAAAGTGACAGTCTGGGAGAAAATCAGTGATAGCCATTGAGTAGACTGTTCTTTAACATCAGTATGCACTTACTATTTAACATTTTAAGCTACAAATGCAGTAAAAATCACATAGTCTCCCCTCAAAAGGGATGACTCCTGGAAAGAAAGTCTTGCACTCTCTTAACTTTCTTTCATAAAAGTCTGGGAGAAGAGATGAACACTGCCCATCACTGGAAACCAGAGAGGCTGTGGAGTCTCCTTCCCTGGAGATATTCAAAACCTGCCTGGACATGGTCCTGGGCAACCTGCTCCAGGTGACCCTGCTTGAGCAGGGGGGTTGGACTAGATGATCTCCAGAGGTCCCTTCCAACCTCAACCATTCTGCGGTTCTGTGAAAACTCAGGCCTCTAGCCAAGCAAAGCTAGCAACAAGTTTAGTCTCTCCCCTAATTACTAACTCCAGCTGCAGTCTGACCCAAATGACTGATTCCTAGGAGGTACTGCAACAAATGAGATCAGCTAAGAGCACAATAAGCATCGAACGTAGCTACAATTCAGTCATTTTAAAGAATGTGTTGTTACAAACCACCTCTTAAAGTACGCTTTGGATTAACAGACAGCCATCCAGCTCACATACTAAGTTGAGCATCCGCTGCACAAAAAAGCCCTCCTTTTCCCCCCAAAAAAGCCAAGCTTTGCCACAGCTGAAGTTTCCAATCGGTCTCAAAATGGGTACACCGTTGCAAAGGTATGTGTACATCTGAAGGGAACGAAACAGAAACACAGCTAAAAACCGACAGTTAGAGAAACTCTCCACCAACTTGATTATCTGCCTACCCAGAAGCATCAGCAGTGCAAAAAGGTTTCCTGGGGGATGAAAGGTGCGCTGAGGCATGTGCATCCCTGCAAGTCACCCCCTGCAGCCCCCTCCTTATGTTTTTCCAAGCTGATCGGCCCTAAAGGGAGCAGCCTCACCGGGACCGCAGCTGCCCGCTACCTCCTGCTACCTCCTCCGGAAAGCCTCCCGGACAGACAGAAGATTCAGCGATTTGTCCCGAGCTGCTGACAGCT